CAGTCGACCTTTGCCAAGTGAATGTGGGTCTCAAAGTTTTCTAGCTTCGCCTTGTAGATGCGGAAAGCTTGCCGATCAAAATTGATTTGCTTCACAGTCAAATCATATTTGTCTTTCTCCAAAGCTGTCAGCTGAACCGTCTCTCCGTGGCCATCACTCAAAGGCATTTTTGCCCGCACTGTATCCACCACACCCCTGAAGAACTTCACATCAGTGCATGCCAATGTTTCTTTCTTCTCTGAGGCAAGCTCATGCAGCTCCAGCTCCAGTCCCATATGGCCTTCCACCCACTTATCGAAAATTTGCTTTTCGATATCTTCTGTCTTCACAGGGAACTGATCCTGCAAAGCTTTCGCTAAGTTGACCAAGAGGGCCGCAGACTCTGCACTCTGCTCCGGGCTAGCTCGGTCTGCCTTGCGACGCCCTTGCGGATTGCTGTCAAAATCGTGGAACAACTTGCGAAACACCAGCTCAGTGGCCTGGACACTCATCGAAGCATACTTTTTCCAACCTTTGGTCGGAGCCTTGTGGACATGGATGGGCAAAATTTTCTTTGTAGACAGTCCATCATCGGAAAGTGCGCAGCCCTCCCAGCCATATTTGCTCACATGAGCTTGCATGAGACAGAGCAGGCTTTCTGGGAAGTGTGTCATCAAGTTACCTACAGCTGTGGCTTTTGCTGCGAGCAACTGGGAGCTCTTTCCGACTGTGCTGTTGAAACGCTGGATGACAGCTGCGGAGTCTTCGTACCCGTGCTGTTTCAAGGAAGCGAGTGTCAGGATCCAGGTCAACAAGTTAGGTGGTTTTCGAATCGAGCCCATCAAAGACAGTTTGAAGTTTTGAAATACTTCATCTTGAACACTGGCGTGGACCACATGATGGCAGAAAATGGCGGTGACCGTGCTGCGGATCTGAGGGAAAAGACCCAGGAGCGATTCATCTTCCCACACCAAATGCAGGAAGGCCAACAACGTCGTTGCCCTCAAAGCACCTTTGACATAGCCAAGTGAAAATGGAGTGAGGGGCATGCCTGACGACAGTTTTGCCCACGGGGCAAACAAAGGCTCTTTGTCAGCGATGTGCCTCACCAACAGCGGTTGCCCACCTGTCAAGAACCCATCTTGCAGAATGTGCTCCAGAAGCAGCAGTGAAGCATGTCCTGACGGGTCAGGCTTGAAGCTGCAACGACTTCCAAACCCAAGTGAAGCCACATGCACGCGCAGCGGGGCCATCTCGCCTAGATTGTTCGGAGACACAGCATGAAGAGGGTCTTCCAAGGAGTAGACACAAGTCTCTGACAGAGGGAATGCTGCCCACAGCCAATCGACGAAGTCTTGCTTAGCAGTTGCATTGGGCAACTTAGCTTGCAGATATTGTGATGGACCTCCCCAGGTCTCAATCACCGAGCACTTGAAAGCATGAAGTACTTTCTCCATGCTGTTCTTGAACCCTTCCACATCAGCATCCACCGGTGGTAGCTCCCAAGGGGTTGGAGTGGGAGCAGACGGATGCGAAACCGCTTCACTGGGCTCCGAGGCGGCCATGACCGAAGCTTCTGACCAGATAATTCTGCCTGGCCACTTGATCCACTGGGAAAACATATAAATTCAGAAATTTCAAGCGATCATGAGTTCAAAATATTTGACCCCCGAGATCCGTCCAAAAAAATTTTTCGGACCGATCTCCCCCCCCCAACGCTTGCGAGAGCCGAAACCCCTACCCTAAAATCTGACCCCTCAGATCCGTCCATGGACCCGCGCCCCCCCGAGATCCGTCCAAAAATTTTTTTTCGAACCGATCTTTCCCTCCCAAATTTGGGACCCCTTGATCCGTCCAAAAAAAAGTGACGAATCATTTTGCATCTTTTTCCTGCAGACCCCTTCTAGTGTCATGTGACGATTTCAACGCCAGTCATTGACTGGCTAAACCCCTAACTTTCTCAGAACAGCTGTCTGCGGCCCAAAGAGCCGCACAGGCGTCGAAGAGCCGCCTGCGCGTTCTTTCAAAAAGCAAAACCCAAACTTGCCCCAGCAGCTGCAGGGACGGTTTCACTCCATCGGGGAGGGAAGCTCCACAGGCGATTCCTCGTCCTCGTCAGCCACAAGCCGCACAGGCGGCTGCCCATGCAACATCTCCATCTGCACGGCATTGGCCAAGCTGGAAACCATCCCATCAGGATAAACCTGTGCAGCACGGCATCTGCTCATAGGACCTTCTTGTCCCTGTAGCCATACATGTGTGAGTGGTGTGTGGTTGCAAGTGGCCGGAGTGCATCGCGTGTTGAAGTCATTGGCAAGCAAAGGCCAGTTGCTCATAAGCTTGGTCCTCTTCCGAACAGGGTTGCCTTCCACTGCAGTGCGGAGGCCATGCAAACACTGGTCAAAAACAAAATCTTGAACGTGAGGAAGCTGGTGCATCTCATGGCTGATCGGCAAAGACCAGGATGTCGCCATCCATGGGCGCTCGATGACCGCATGGCGGCCAAGACGCACTTGCAAACGAAACAACATACAAGCAAATTTCCAAAGTTTCTTCCCTTCCTCATAGCGCTGCTCCCATAGAACCAGGTCGGACCTTCGGTTCTTGTTGCTGTGCTGCATCTGCGAAAAAACAGTGCAAGGAGGTGAGAGCATCAAAACCCTTGGCTCCAGGTCAATGACCAGCTTGACACATGCCTTGCGGCTTTCTTCGTTCAAGAAGTTATGCCCGGTGAGCAGGTCCAGGCTCGGCCCAACTCGCCACCCCAAAGACCTGACCGCAGGGGCCACCCGAGGCTGCGAGAACACTTCCATGAATGCCACAGTCTCATCAGTTCGCGGAGAGGCAGGTAATGACACCGACATATTCAACTCGGAGTCGGAGTCCGATTCCTGATCAGATGGCAAACTGATCGCCAGGCTCTGAGTCTCCATCAGATCCATGTGGGACATGTCGTAAACATACCTTTGGGGCAGGTACCTACAGTTGGAGCCACCTTTTGCTCTGAGTGAGTGAAACATTCACAAGAAAAAACATCATGCTGTATCTGTGTTTTCATACAAGTCAGAAGAATCAACTTGCAGGTAAAGGTTCAACTCACAACGCCCTTTCTCACCGCTTCAGACACAAAATTATGCCGCGTTTTAGCTGCAGCATCTGGTGACATGCCGAGGCTGCCAGGCTAGCCTTCGTAGTTGCGGCAGGCCTCTTCCAAATCAACCCTCGATTCCAACTCTCCGTTGGTCGCCTTTGTCTCAACCTCACCCCATTTCTCTTTGTGACTCTGCTTGTCTTCACATTCGTCTGCTAGCAAGGCCCAGGTCATGAGCATGCAAAAGCATTGGTCCTCGGAAGCGCAAGCTGCGACGTTTCTTGCTCTGTTGCACTGCGGATGCTTGGGGCAAGTGACTTGCCAGGCCAAAGGTTTCCCATCCTTCATCTTGGGGGTCGAGCGGATGTTGCCAAAGATCAAAACATTCTGCTGAGTTCTCGGCTTTTTGGTTGGAGGCTGGTCATTCGCTGTCTCCTCAATCTCCGGCTCGTTCTGGGGCTGTGCTGGCACCTCATCGGCATTGTCCTCTGGCGCCGGCGGTTGCGCTGGAGGCTGTGCCGGGGGTGGAGCCCCTTGCTGTGCACGCTGACGGCGGGATAGATGCGCCAGCTGTGGTGCCACAGCAGCAGAAGCAGCAGCATCGGTCTTGGGCGGTCTCTTCGGGCCATAAGTCTTGGGTCTTGCACGCACTTCTCGAATGGCCAGCGCTCCTTCTGGAGCAAAGTCTTTCCAAGTTGCAGTCACCTCAGGACCGGTAGGCTCCAAAAAGTCCCTGCCATTGATGATGCATTCGATGTCCGGGAGCTTACCAGGTATCTGTTCTCCGTTTCTGCGCAACCAATCCTGAAAGTAAGAGAAAGCGGCATGCAACTGCCAAGGCTTTTGCAACACCTCCTCTGCTGTCTTCGCATACTTCTTGAGCGACTCATCTGTGAGCCATGCGCGCGGGGCCGGCATGGTGCGAAGCAAAGACAAATCTACCTTCGCTTTCCCTTCTAACTGCACAGTCGGTGGCTGTGACAACACCTTTGAACACAACCAGTGCTTGGCCAACAAAACAGGATCGAAATCATCGCCCTCTTCAGCAACACACCCTGGCGCGCAATGAGCAACGTCCTTCCTGGCCACCACTCGCATCACATGGGCTGCGTCTGCAGTAGTCTTGCTTCCGGTGATTCCAGTGAAGGCCGTCTCCAAGGGGGCCATGAGATCCCGCCAACAATGGCACGCCGTGATGACCTCACAGATCAATGGCAGACCTCGAGCAGGCTTGTAATGCTCAAGGGTGTAGGCTTGATAGTCCTCAGCCGTTTCCAAGCAAGACGCACGACGAAGAAGGGCGGAAATCACACCGAACCGCTGATCCAAGCGGTTGTGCGTGTGTCCTACACGCATCAGTCCAAATGCGATGTCTGTGAACCTTTTCATTTTGATCATCATCGATGACCAAAGGAGCATTTGACTGTTTCTACCCTCTTTGCTCGTATTGTCAAACTGAATGACAAGTCTTCCTGGCAAAGACCGACCGCTGCGCAAAAGTTGCTCCTCTGCAAGTTGAATAGCTCTGCAGATCAATGTCTGTTGACAATCTGAATCGCCCTTCACATCTGGCTCAAGAATCGCCATGAATTCCAGAACTCCAGGGATCATCACGCCAACAAGATGCAAAGATGGCCGCCAAAGCATGGACATTCTCTTGGTGTTCTCAACGAGTTTTGGTGATAACCACTTGCTCTTGTCCATCCCATCAATCACCAAAACCAAATGCGGTAGTTCTTGCTCTCCCTGCTTCATGCTTTGCTCGACTTTGTTTTCCAGCAGAGTCATGACATGCCTGTCGGCAAAGACTTCCTTGATGCGCTTGTTGTAGGCGTTCGTCACAGCCTTCAAATCAGCTTCATTGTCGCAATGCAGCTGCCGGTACTTTGCGTATTTGGCGCAGTCATCACAGCGAGCATGAACTTGAGCAGGGCGAATGGCAATGATTTGCTGCCAGTCTTTCCATGCCCTGGAAAAAGAGCTCCAGGATGACAACTCAGCATGGTCGCAATGCATGTCCTTGTACAGGTCATAAATTTCAGCGAGGCTCATTGTCGGCAACCACCGCTTCTCCACTAGACGCTTGTCAGCACTGCCTGCAGCGACATGGCCAAGTTCTATTGGCACTTCCAGAAAATCTTGTTCCAAGAGCCATTGTGGGGCCTCAATGCGCTCAACATTGTAGCTTTCCTCTTCTGCCACCTCTTCGTCCTCTACTTGGTCTCGGGCCAAGGCCAGAGGTTCAGACAAATTCTCATAGAGAAACGAGAAGAACACATTGCAGTCATCCCTTTTGGGCTTCGGTTTGGCAATGTTCAAGGAGCGACCATCCACCGGAGCTCGCACTGCGCCAAGGGAAATGGCCTTCAAAAGCTTGCTGATCTTCTTCTTAGGGCATAGGCTCACCATGCTGTAGGCTGCATGGCACAAGCTAATCCCATGCCAAGACAAAGTTCGAGTTCCATGTGAGTGCATCGACTGCATTTGGTTGAACCAAAGGGTATTCCTGCCCGGAAGATCCAGGCGATCCACACTCGCTTGCAGCCTGGATTGACATTGGCACAAGAACGGGGAAGCCCTCACCGCATCAATGCATTTTTTCTTGCAACAGTCGGCTGCAAGCATGCTTTCCGGGAGCTCTACATCTGACTCCTCCTTTTCTGATGCCGAACTTTCCACATCCGGAGGCAGCCCAACCACTTCTGACTCATCAGCCATGCCGCAAGGCAAACTGACAGAATCTGTCAGAGGAGCTGATATCATATATTGTTACTTGTGTTTATTTACAATAATTACTTAGTGGTTCGAAGCTTGACCATTGACAACTTGTTTTTAAAAAATGTTTGCCTTCTGTTTAACGTTCGTTGGTTGGACTGAAGATAATGGCAGCAGCGGCAACAAAGACTTAGTGAAGTGAGCGAATAAGGAGGTGACGAGAATAAGGCCCGGACAATCTCGCAGCCCATGGCCGCCAGCGGCCCAGCGAGCCGCGCAGTCGACCCAGAGCCCAACGAAGCTGCAGCAAGCGGCCCCAAGAGCCGCAAGCAGGCAGCGGCCCCAAGAGCCGCGCCCATATCAGCGGCCCAGACAGCCGCTAGCGACCCTGAGAGCCGCCGTTCATTTACAGCGGCCCAGTGAGCCGCAGTGTATAGCGGCCCAAAGAGCCGCAGGCCGCAAAGAGACTATAATGTAACAGCGGCCAAGGGAGCCGCCATCTAATCAATGAGCGGCCCTGAGAGCCGCGATGCAGCGGCCCATAGAGCTGCTGCCAAACAGCGGCCGAGAGAGCCGCGATGCAGCGGCCCATAGAGCCGCGATGCAGCGGCCCATAGAGCCGCTGCCAAACAGCGGCCCAAAGAGCCGCGATGCAGCGGCCCATAGAGCCGCTGCCAAACCTCGGCCCAGAGAGCCGCGATGCAGCGGCCTTAGAGCCGCTGCCAAACAGCGGCCCAGAGAGCCGCTAACCCAGAGAAG